GCACATTCAGCCGAGAACTCCTGGCAATCTACCTGTCCATCCGCCATTTCCGTCACTATCTCGAGGGTCGAGAGTTTACAGTGTATACGGACCACAAGCCCCTGACATTTGCTCTCCGCACCGCGTCCGACCGTCTGTCCCCACGCGAGCAGCGTCAACTTGCATATGTGGCAGAGTTCACCACTGACCTGCAGCACATCCAGGGCGTGGACAATGTGGTTGCGGATGCACTCTCCCGACCGTCTGTCAATGCCATCCAGCAACCCATTGATTTCACCAAGTTTGCGGCTGCCCAGACCAACTGCCCAGAGCTCGAGGCACTCCGTACTCGTCCAGACACCAGTCTCGATTTCAAGTCTATCTCGCTGCCGTTCTCTCCTGTTCCGCTCTTGTGCGATGTATCCACCGGTACACCACGGCCATATGTCCCAGAAGCATTCCGTAGACCTGTTTTCGATTCGCTCCACAGCATCAGCCACCCTGGCATCAAAGCAACTCAGCGTCTGATCACAGCTCGGTATGTTTGGCCTGCCATTTCTAAGAATGTGCGCGCTTGGACTCGCTGTTGCCATGAATGTCAGCGGTCCAAAGTACACCGGCATACCTCGGCACCACTGTCGAAATTCATGCCGCCTGACGCCCGGTTCGATCACATCCATATCGACCTCGTCGGACCTCTGCAGCCATCCCAAGGTTTCACGTATCTGCTAACATGTGTGGATCGTTTCACCCGTTGGCCCGAAGCAATACCACTACGCGACTGTACAGCCGAGTCAACCGCACACGGCCTGCTACAATGGGTGTCCCGTTTTGGCACTCCATCAGTGATCACCACCGACCGTGGCAGACAATTCGAGTCAAGCTTATTCGCTGCATTGTTGAAGCTACTCGGATCCTCCCGCCTACGCACCACTGCGTATCACCCCCAGAGTAACGGCTTGGTCGAGCGATTCCACCGCCACATGAAGTCCTCTCTGATGGCACAGGCATCCGGCAGCTGGTCACACAATTTGCCCCTGGTCATGCTCGGCATCCGTGCAGCGTACAGAGCCGATTTAGACTGCAGTGTAGCCGAGCTCACCTACGGCACAACACTGCGTCTTCCTGGTGAATTCTACGAGCCCAGCTTTTCAACCTCACCCAGCCCATCTCACTATGTCCAAGCCCTCCGCACATCTCTGCAGGCATTACGACCCACCACTCCCAGATCCAGCAACCGTTCCGTGTGGGTGTCCGGCGACCTAGCCACAGCGACGCATGTGTATGTCCGCACGGATGCTGTGCGTAAACCCCTCCAGCCGCCCTATCAAGGCCCGTTCAAGGTTATCTCTCGACACAACAAGTACTTCACCATACTGCTCAATGGCAAGGAGGATAGTGTCTCCGTTGACCGGCTCAAGCCTGCATATCTCCCCGACACTGCCGCGAGTGCGCCACCTGTCTCGGCCATCCTGCCAGCGACCACCCCATCTGGGTCAGTATCAATTCAGCATCGTATTGTCCGTTGGCATGAGTGAATTCATTGGAATGACTGAATTTCTTGTGTGTGATCGTCATCAGTGCATACACCCTGTATCCATTTGCAATGACTTGTAAATATTCTTGTACATGTCCACTTTATATATTTCTCGTTTTCTTGCCGCTTGCTATACCGCATCCGCCATAGCAACACTAATCTTGTACATTTACTTAGCCTTACTCAATCTGTTTTCTACATTTCGTGCACTATCCTTCGTCAGTCCACTGGCGGGGGAGTGATGTCGTGCTACGACTTGCTACGTCATAATTCTCACAGTCACCCACGTGGCTTTTGTGCTGCCCACGCTGCACTTTTCCGCAATGTTTTTGGAAGCACTGGCTTTAGCGTACGTTAGCATATTGGCGTACCGTATGCCACGAACCTCACTTTTGCATACGGTTGCCGCCAGCCAGCTTGCCTTTTCTCTTCCTGACAATCTCTCTCTGCTTGCTTGGCCCTTGCCGAAGCACCTTTTTCTGGCTCCTTGCCCCTGTACGTATTTCTTGTTCATATGTAGTCTGCCGAATCTTTCTAACTGTAACGTGTAAAGTAATCATTGCCGCTAACTATCGAAGTGTCCGTTGTGACCAGGAAGTGGCCCGATTCGCGCGCCCCCTTAGCAGGCGCAGACCTAAATTTGCTAAAGCTGATTGTCGATATTTTGCTTTCATTTTACCAGGCCACGCGCCACTCGATATTTTGCTCCCTTTTTGCTCCAAAATTTGTGTCACGTGAGGGAAAAACTGACCGAAAGTGGGTCACGTGTTGGCAAAAAAAGAAAAAGCGAGTCACGTGTTGGTAAAACTGTGCGAAAATGAGTCACGTGCACCGTATACATGTAAGTGTAAAATCTCCCAATTTCCAGCGAACACACCGATATTTTGCTCCATTTTGCCAGCAAATTCCCTTTCAAAATTCTTCGATATTTTGCTAGCAGAATTGCTAGCAAAATCGGGCTATGCCTAGTACTCGGCGGGTCTTCTTTCGTCCGGTGACAGTGTTCATCACGGACCAAAGTTTCCTCTGATCAGACATAATATTGATCCATAAAGTAAGCATTCTTCAACTGTCAATCTAGCTTTCTGGCCTTGGCACGTGCAGCTCGGTGCTCCTGCTGGAGTGCCTCGTTTGCTCTATCTTGCATTACACGGCGGTGCAGTCTGTTTCGGTTCCGGACACACTCAACCAGCTCGCGAGTCAGCCAGAGACATGGACGCCGGTCTGCACGGCGGCGGTCGGTGATGGGTGCATGTTGGTCAAGGGTGGAGAGAATAGCATTGCTAAAGTCTTTATCATGTCCTGGCAGCTCATCGACCATAGAAATTGTCCATGAACATAAGCACTTTGGTATAATTATTGACGACTGTCTAACATAGGCTCCTCATGCAGACTATATTTGCAAAAAAACTAGTAGTGTTCTCGGCATACTATATCCTCATCGTTCTCATCTGCCAAATACATGCCATGCCGTCCTATGTTTTATCGCTCGTATCTATTACCTATTTTCCAGTATGCATGTCAGTCTTGGTGTAGTCTAAGTCAACATCTAGCGAACAAACTTGAAATCCAACATAAATCTCTTCTTAAAATATTGTTTAACAAGCAGCGTTTATTTCCTAGTCTTGAGCTCTATTGTATCAGCAATACTCAGCCACTGCAAGATAATCGCAAACAGCAGCTTTGCATTTTGATCCACAGAATTCGCCTAGGTAAAATTCCCATTCATCTCTCCGTATTCAATTGGTTTTCTCTGTCCCGGTCCACTCGTAATAGTCTCTCACTTCCCCGTGCTAATTCAGCCGCATTTACCAACTCTCCTTTGTTTTTGTCCTACAGCCTTTAGCTGCAACTTCCCCAGCATGTTAAGACATCAAAATGTCTTTCCCGCTTTAAAAATGCACTCCGATCGCATAATGTAGCATGATAGGATATCCTTGCTGGATTCTTGTCTATCCTTCTATCTTCTCTTTTTCTATATTCCTTTCCTTTCTTTTTTTGCCGTGGTTGGCTATCACCCCTCTCTCGCACTTTGTGTGCCAATTGGTCATGGACCACGAGTTGAGTGAAATAAATAAAAATAAATAAAATAAAGGAAGTTGTCATGGAGTCAACATCTTGATCATCGAAGCCGACAGACAGTATGCCATGTAAATCAGTTTGAAAGCAGCCCCAGTCAATCTGATGGAGACGACGACCCGTGACAGTTGATGTTCCCTTGCGAGCAGGTTTAGACAGAATCGGTAGATGAGCGAGTATGGCATAGTGATCACTTATATCGAGGTAAATTATTTTACATATTCCACTTATAGCTGTTGTTGAGAGGGAAAGATCAAGAATGTGCTGTCACTCGTGTTGCAGAGGATACGTAATTCTTCAGATCAAATCTCGTCAGAATATGCTGAAGAGGGTGGGCAGCATTACCAGGCATGCTGAAATCCACGTTAAAGTCACCAACGAGTACTGTGGAATGCTGCCGTCCTTGACAAGCTTGTTCAATGTTATTCTCGAAACCATCCCAGTACGATACAGGTTTGTTTGGTGGGCGATATGTACACCCGAGAACAGTGGTGCGCCCATTGCTTGTAATTTCGATCCACATCATCTCTAGCTCTGGACACTCCAGGTCCGTGCGCCTTCTGGCATGGACAGAATCATGACAGTACACAGCGACGCCTCCTCCATGTTGACGATAACGGTCCTTTCGGAACAGCTTGTAATTCGGAATCGAAATCTTGCCGTCGCTAATGCAAGGCTTCAGCCAAGTTTCAGCCGGGCCGAGGACATGGATTCCACGCACAGCAAGGTACTGTTGCACTTCGCCGACTTTTCTCTGTAGACTACATATATTGAGAAAGGATACCGCAAGGATAGCCTGGCTCATGACTTGTGGTGAACGATTTCCCGCCGCTATCATTGGGAACTGAGTTCAGTGTCTGTGGACGCACTGTCAGTCGTCGCTGCATAGTAAAGTTCCCCGGGGCCGGGGGTCCAATTACTATACTCCGGTTGGTTGGTTGGTTTGGTTGTTTTTATCAGGGAGTCGTAAAATTGGTACGACTCCCTGGTTTTTATTATTTCAGTTCGTTGCCTCAACTGTACAAAGTACAAATATCAAGAGGGACGAACGAAAAGAGAAAATAAAACAGAGCAGAGAGGAAGATGCAACTTGTAGTATTATTCTCAATAGGGACAAGGAGACATGGACGAGTAAACTAATGAGGAGCAAGAAATGCACAACCAGTAGGTAAGTCAAAAACAAGAGAAGTCGCGAGCCAGTGAAGCACATCAAAGTTCTGGCCTACGGGAAACGGCCTGTGTGACGTACATACAGCATGCAACGCATACAGTCATAAGTGTACAGTAGTGTACGCATAATAGAGTCCAGATATTACGACATCTCCCCTTTCAGGGCGCGCAGCAAGAGAGCGATAAGTTAGCAAAACAGGAATAATGCTGAAGACGAAAGAGTAACGCTAAATGATTAACGGAATCTGATAGGAGTATGAACGGCACGTCCAGAACGGGTAACTCTACCGGAACGCTCAGTACCTGGAGATAGACGTTGGGCAGGTGACGCTGGCTCACCATTGTCCACAGCGTCGTTAGCAGAACCTGCAGGCGGATCGACGATGAGGTCACTGCGGTTGCGGCGGAGAACCGAACCGGATGGCGTCTCCACGATAAGCGACCTGGTGGAATGCTCGGCAGTGACAATACCAGGCTCTTTCCTATCCGGAACAAAGACAGCGGTACCCGGGACCAGTGGCGTAGCATCGAGAGCGCGATGGCGGGAGTTGAAATCCGACGCTTGCCGGGACTTCAAAGAGGCGTCTTTAGCGGCAAACGCTGTGCGATCTACGAGGTATGGCCGTCGAACGTCTGCCGACATGGGTAAACGCGTCTGGATGCGGCGGCCCATGAGGAGCTCCGCAGGACTGAAGCCATGTGCTAGTGGACTGGCACGATAGCTCTGCAGAGCAACATACGGATCACCTCCCCTCACCAGCAAATGCTTTAGGGTCTGCACTGCGCGTTCCACTAAGCCGTTGCCTTGCGGATGAAGAGGGCTGCTCGTGCGCTGGGTGGTTCCTTGCTCTTGAAGCCATGCTGAAACCTCTGCACTTGTGAATGGGGGACCATTGTCCGAAACAAACACATCTGGATTGCCGTGACGCGCAAACATGGACTTCAGTTGCGTGATGAGAGAAGCTGCAGAAGTACGGGACATCTGAGCAAGCTCGATCCATCGGGAGTAGTAGTCGACGACAACTAGGTACTGAGAGCCTTGGAACTGCATGAAATCGGCAGCGACTTCCTGCCACGGGAACTCGGGAAGACGTGAGGACAGCAGGGGCTCCACTGGCGTTGGCTTGTCACGAGCCAGGCTTGGCAATTGGACACGATATCAGCCAACTGGGCGCTTAGACCTGGCCACCAAACTGACTGGCGAGCCCTTTCGCGGGTCTTCGTGATGCCGAGGTGACCAGCATGGAGCTGCTGGAGGACTTCTGGACGGAGCTGGTCCGGGATGACGATTCTGGAACCGTACAGGAGCAGGCCATCTGTGATACAGAATGACTGCCGGGATGCGTAGTAGGGCTTAACGGACACTGGAGCAGACTGTAAACTTGGCCAACCGGACAGAGTGTACTGCACAAGATGTTGACACACTGGGTCTTGAGCCTGCTGGTGTTGAATCTCACTCAGTCTTGCATCGGACGCAGGGAGATAAGAAACCACACTGTCGAGAAAAGCTTCTGCGAAGTCGAGGAGGCGGACGTCATCAGCGGACAGAGGACGCGACGCAGGTGACCTAGATAAGGCATCAGCAACGATTAGATCTTTGCCAGGGATGTGTACGATGTCGAAATCAAATCGCATCAGGTTGAGCCGGAACCGAAGTACACGTGGAGGGATAGAGTCGAGAGCACTGGTGCTGAACAGGGGCACCAGAGGCTTGTGATCTGTTTCCAGCGTGAATCTCTTACCGATGAGGTAATCAGAGAATCGGTTGCAAGCCCAGGTGAGGCCAAGAGCTTCCTTTTCTATTTGAGCATAGCGACGCTCTGCCGGCAGTAGTGCACGAGACTGGAACGATACGGGTTTCCAATCGCCGGACGGCTGTTGCTGCTTGATAACGGCACCGAGACCATAGCTCGAGGTGTCTGCAGAGACAATAGTTGGGTACTCGGGAGAGTACAGAGCAAGAACAGGCGTACACGACAGAAGAGCCTTAATCTCTTCAAATGCCGATTGCTGAGGGGGTCCCCAGGACCAGGCATTGCCTTTCTTGAGAAGGTCGCGGATCGGCTGTGAGACGGAAGCAAGTGAGGGAGAGAACTTGCCAAGCTGGTTGACGAGGCCGAGAAAGCTTCTCACATCCGCGACATCCTGGCATGGCGTGAAGTCTTGAATGCCCTGCACCTTCTGGGGATCAGAGTGGATGCCGTCTTGGTCGATGATATGACCCAAGAACTTGGCAGAAGTGACTTTGAAGAGACACTTGTCCGGGTTGAGTGTGACGCCGTTGTCGTGAGTGAGCCGTTGTAGCACCTGGTGCAGCCGGTTATCATGTTCCTCTTCAGTGCTACCGAACACTAGAGCGTCGTCCATCTGACATGCGGTACCAACCACACCGTTCAAGATCCGAGCCATTCGTTTCTGAAAATGTTCGCGAGCCGAACAAATACCGAATGGTAGACGCGTGAACATGAAACGCCCAAACGGGGTGATAAATGTGGTCAACTTCTGGGATTCCTTGGCCAAGGGCACTTGGTAAAACCCAGAGTTGGCGTCAAGCTTTGTGAAATACCTGGCACCGCCCAACTGACCCAGCGTGTGGTCTACCGCCGGCAAGACGAACTGCTCACGACGAACGTGTTGGTTGAGACGTGTGTAGTCAACGCACAGACGGACTGCCTCCCCTCCAGGTTTGGCGACAACAACAAGGCCAGCACACCAATCAGTTGGTTCGTCGACAGGGACGATGACGCCTTGCTTTTCCATCTTCTCAAGCTCCGCTTTAACAATCGGCATTAGCGGTATTGCCACATTGTCGCGCGGGCAGGACAGAGCAAATGGTTTGGCGCCTTCTTCGAGGCGAATGCAGTGAGGCTCTCCAGTGAACCTGCCGAGAGGTTTGAACAAATCGGGGTATGCAGCTCGTGCTGTCGCGGTGTCGCGAATACCGCTCGATACTTCAGAGATGTCAGCCTTGACGTCCAGGAGGTCCAAGGCGACTATTGCAGGGCGTCCTAGGAGGGCCTGCTTGAGGTTGTTGGCAACGAAAATCTCTTGGCGAGACGACTTGCCCGCATGTGTTACCACTGCGTCGAACACGCCAGCTACGTCGAGGACGCTTGAGTTAGCAGACATCAGGGTACGACGACTGGGTCGCAGGGCCTGCGCATCTAACAGGCGGAATACACTTGCTGGAATTACAGAGACATCGGCTCCGGTGTCGATCTTCATCATGACTGGGGAATTGTTGACTTCCACCGACACAGACCAAGGGTCACGTCCGGCATCGACGCTGCCGAGAAACATGCCAGGGGCATGCGCATCTGGCGGTACAGTATGTACAGCGTCACAGGATCGTTGCTTCTTCTGGCACACAGTAGCAAAGTGCCCTTGTTTCTTACAGAAATTACACTCAGCTGATCGAGCTGGGCATACTGCACGATCATGGTCTTCCTTCCCACAGAATTGACAACTCTTTTTTTGTTGTTTTTTCTTGAAATCCTTGGATCTCTTCGGAGCAGACTTTTTAACAAAGGATACGTCAGCAGGGCTAACACTGGCGGAGCGAGACCCGGTTAGCTGAGCCATCTGGGTAGCTGTAGCTTCATGTGTCCTCGCAACTTCCAGCCCTTCGTCAAGAGACGACAACTGGTCGCCCTTCTCCAACAGCTTCTCCTGTACCGTTTTATGTCGGGTGCCGACAATCAGCTGCTCTAGCAAACGGGTGTTGACTTCACCGGCATCGGCAAATTTGCACTTCACTGCCAAGTTCCGACAGCGACAGAGAAAATCGTCAGTGGTTTCCCCCACATTTTGCCGTTGCTGTTGAAGCTGGAAACGGGCCAGCCACGCGTTTACTTTCGGGTGCAGGTGGGCCTGAAAACGGGAAAGTAATTCGTCCACTTTGAAGCGGTCAGCTTCGTCTGCAAATGTCCAGGAATTGTAGATGTCCACACCAGGTCGGCCTATCCAAAGGAGGATATATGAGCATTGCTCTTTCGCTGACTTCGCTGAGTACGGACCTCCGAAAATCAATTCACAATACTGCCTAAACGAGGCGAATTCCTCCGGGAGGTTGTCTGACTCCCATCTCATGGATGGAATAGAAAATCCAGCCATCGTTATCAGCAGCCCAATTCTGACACCATGTAGTATTATTCTCAATAGGGACAAGGAGACATGGACGAGTAAACTAATGAGGAGCAAGAAATGCACAACCAGTAGGTAAGTCAAAAACAAGAGAAGTCGCGAGCCAGTGAAGCACATCAAAGTTCTGGCCTACGGGAAACGGCCTGTGTGACGTACATACAGCATGCAACGCATACAGTCATAAGTGTACAGTAGTGTACGCATAATAGAGTCCAGATATTACGACACAACTGAAAGGAAAGAAAAACGGAGAGAAACGGAGAAGGAATGTGGACTGGGCGGATTCATGAACCATTACTAGAGAGAAACAGAGAAGGAATGTGGACTGGGCGGATTCATGAACCAGTCCATTTCAAAACTATAGACGTGTAGGCTTTTTGAAATATATCAAAAATGGCTGGACCTTTTTGAGAATAGTTTTCGGAATATTGCTCAGGTCCGCTCCACATTTACTCTCATAATTATAGTTTCTAAACGATTGGATAACAGACGCCCAATTTAGAAAAATTTATGCACAAAGTGATCACAGATTTTATGTGGTATAGATGCTGGCACAACGGTTTTTGCCTCGGTACGCGTCTATAGTTTTGAAATGGACTGTTGTAGAGCAGGGCAATGCATGAACAGAAGGCGGTGCAGGGAGTAGTTACATTTCGGAGCTCCGGCTTCGAATGTGACAGTGTGTTTGGCCTAATTCGGTCCTAAAACCATAGCAATTCAAAGAAAATTTTCAAACTCCGCCACCATATTACTCCCGAACTCCAGACCTTATTTGGCCTTTTTCTTTGCTCCACATGGTGGACGTTTCTTCTTCGATTTATTTTTGAGTTATTGCAGTTTATAGTCCGATTTGTGGCGTGCCCCTTTCCGGTGACATGGATGGGGTTATGGATGATGGTACCCTGGAAAGTTCCAGTGGTGACCAGGTTCCGAGCGGCTCTGGGGCCAGTTCAGCGAGATCTGGGTCACTCAGGGCGTCTGCTCCTGAAAATTTGGCTTCTGAGGATCAGCGAGATCTTGTTGCCGCCGGGCCTCCGGCTCAGGCATTGGAGCCTTCTGTCAGTTCGGAAGATCAGCGAGATCTTTCCCTGACTATGACTAAGCCTCAGGCTTTTGATCCACGTGCCGAGGTGGACACATCCGGCAAGTACCTTATACGAGCTCCGTCTGTCATCACAGACTACATAGAAACTCATTTCCGTCGTGCCCTGACGGTTAGCGCTACGGAGATGTGTTGAAGCTAGGTGTCAGGACGTCGAATGTCTCAGTACTCTGTCAGTTTTGTGCCTAGTTATTGCACTTTCTGACTGTATAAAGTATCATGTTACAGTGATGGAGAGTTACTCTTAACTCGTATCCATAATGTCTTTTTCCTTTCTACAATAATAATAATAATAATAATAATAATCAAAATTTTGAAGGACGCTTCACGCAGCTTCATTATACTTGAATTGTTTGCAGGCAACCTGCCTACACTCAAGAGAGCACTGCATTTCACACAAATCCATTGGTATCGTTACAACGTTTCGGTCTTTATGACCATCATCAGGAATGAAGTGGACATGGAAAGAACAGCAGTATAAAAGAAGGAGGCAAGCAAGCAAAGCGCGGTACATAGTGACAGCGCGCGTAGAGAAGTGCAAAGCGCGTCATGGCGGGTGTGCATTACTACATATACATGACAACACAAGCACAAACGGTGAGGAAAGTAGATACTGCGCTACAGCAGTGATAACAGCCCAGTTCCAGTCTCACACCACCAGTGAGGTGTCTAGAGCCCCGCGCCACTCGCAGTAAGGTGGTGTTATAGCAGATCCCAGCCACTGTTATTGTTAATTTCCGGGGATCGCTCCCTGATATTGATGGCCTCCCGGATCCTCCTCCTGGGGCGGTCACGCTCAGAACCGAGAACCCGGATACCTGAGAAAGCCGTTGCTCCCAATGGCAATGGGTCAGATGCATGCTTGGCCGCGAAATGCTCACCCAGCGCGGTGCCGCTCACTGTGTTGCGTGCGTCGTCGTTGTGTTCTTTTGTCCTGGTAGCGAGGCTGCGGTACGTCTCTCCGACATATTTATCACCACACCTGCACTCGAGGTGGTATACAACATTTCGCTCCGTGCATGCCCCTGAACCAAATTTCGGTGGAAGTCCCACTGCTATGGACTATTCACGGCGCGGAGGGCCGACCTGCGCTCGTACTCCAAGCAAGACTATATTTGGCTACGTGCCTTGTGCAATGCTGTGTGTCATGCGGAACGACTTGCCTCCCGACGACGGCTCACCCTTAAGCTAGAGCGTCTATGCCAGCAGCAGTCGTTCGTGGGCTTCCCCCATTGCCAGCTGCCTGCAGGTGGTCACCGCAACAATGTCACGACGCAAGACCGCTCTGGATGTGCTCTTGACTTAGACAACTGTGTGTCGAGTGAGGCGCTGGACCTCCTTAGACTCGGGCCGGGCTTTGTTCCGTCGGCTGGCAAAGCCAACCAGAGAGTTATGCAAGACGTCGAGGTGGGCGTCGAAAGAATGGCGTACTCTCTTCGCTGGTGGAGGCAGTCCTCGGAACAGCAGCCATCTATGGCTGACGGAGGTCCCGCCAAATTTGAACCCAAGATCTGGCACCTGAAGGCACATGGTTTCCAGCAGGGCCCTAAACTGTCCAAGGACGAAGAGTACAGCCTGGCGAGCTTCAAGCGCGAAGCAATGGCCCTGTACAAAAACTCGCGAGTGCCGCAGCCGAACCTGTCTCACTCTGATCGTGAGCAGCTCATGAAGGTCGGCAAGGACGAGTCGGTCATCATAAAAAAATCTGATAAAAGCAACAAATTTGTAGCAATGAAAATGACCACTTACCTGGAGAAGGCAGAATCCCTGTTGTCGGACGAGTCCCGGTTTGAGAAAGTTGAGCTTACTATCGACCAGTGGGAGGAGGAGACCCGAAAGATACTCCGCCGAGTTTGCGAGGGATCCTTGGAAAAGGATTTATACACAGCCGTGATGCCGGGTGACAACAGCTTCCCTGAAATGTACGGTCTTCCAAAAGACCACAAGTCCAATATTCCTCTCAGACCAGTCGTTGCGGCCTGCGGCAGCCCAGTTACAAACATCTCCATAGTCCTCGAACGCATCCTCAATCAATGTCTCCAGTTCGTGCCAGCACACCTGGAGAACACTGTTGAAGCACTCCAGTGTATGAGGAGCGCGTTTCCCAACCTCAAGGCCCCGCCCGGCACCATCATTGTGACTATGGATGTGGTGGCCCTTTACCCTAGCATCCCGATTAACGATGGCATTGCAGCAGTCATGAGAGTCCTCCGACAACACGAGGGCAGCATCGATCTGTTCGGTTTCCGAATTGGGCAGGTCAAGGAGCTCCTCGCACATGTGCTGAGCTCCAACTACTTCCGGTTTGGAGCGCAGGTGTACCACCAGAAGGATGGTGTGGCTATGGGCAATAACCTAGCGCCCCCCTTTGCCATCCTGTACATGCATGACCTAGAGAGTTCGCTCTTGCGTAGTGCACCTGCCAGCCCAGTTCTGTACAAGCGCTACATCGATGATGTTTTCATTGTGTGGAACCTCGGTCCGGAACTTCTGCAGAGTTTCCTAGATCACTTCAATAATGCCGATCCTAATATTAAATTCACTCACCAATCCACGGAGTTGACTGGCTCAATCAATTTCATGGACACGACCGTCCATGTCTCACCAGATGGATCTATATCCTATGAACTATACCGCAAGCCATGTCACAGCGGACTGGTATCAGACTACAACTCGTCAGTTCCCAACCAGCAAAAGAAAGCAATTGCTTCCTCTGAGTTCCTGCGTGCCGTCCGCCTATCCTCCGATGCCGACACCCTAAAAAGAAGTGAAGAAAAAGTAACCAACATCCTAAAATTCAACAACTTCCCAGAGTCAGTTATAGTTTCGGCACGTGAACGAGCTATGCGCCCCCGACGTGTCAGAGTGCAGAATGAATACCGTGTCACCCTCAACCTACCGTTTCACACCGAGTATATCCACAACAAAATTCATAAATTACTCCGGAAGTACAAGATAAATGCCCAGCTGATTTACAGGAACCGCCGACTAAGTTCTATGATTTGCACGTCTGCCCTCCGCAAACCACCATGCCGCAGGTATGTAGACCCGTCCAGGCCCCGTAAACGGGGGCGGCCCAAAGCTGCTTGTGTCGCCTGCATGTCCGGTTCAGGGGCATGCACGGAGCGAAATGTTGTATACCACCTCGAGTGCAGGTGTGGTGATAAATATGTCGGAGAGACGTACCGCAGCCTCGCTACCAGGACAAAAGAACACAACGACGACGCACGCAACACAGTGAGCGGCACCGCGCTGGGTGAGCATTTCGCGGCCAAGCATGCATCTGACCCATTGCCATTGGGAGCAACGGCTTTCTCAGGTATCCGGGTTCTCGGTTCTGAGCGTGACCGCCCCAGGAGGAGGATCCGGGAGGCCATCAATATCAGGGAGCGATCCCCGGAAATTAACAATAACAGTGGCTGGGATCTGCTATAACACCACCTTACTGCGAGTGGCGCGGGGCTCTAGACACCTCACTGGTGGTGTGAGACTGGAACTGGGCTGTTATCACTGCTGTAGCGCAGTATCTACTTTCCTCACCGTTTGTGCTTGTGTTGTCATGTATATGTAGTAATGCACACCCGCCATGACGCGCTTTGCACTTCTCTACGCGCGCTGTCACTATGTACCGCGCTTTGCTTGCTTGCCTCCTTCTTTTATACTGCTGTTCTTTCCATGTCCACTTCATTCCTGATGATGGTCATAAAGACCGAAACGTTGTAACGATACCAATGGATTTGTGTGAAATGCAGTGCTCTCTTGAGTGTAGGCAGGTTGCCTGCAAACAATTCAAGAATAATAATAATAATAATAATAATAATACTCCTGCTCCGGTGCATAGTACTTTTCCCCCGGGGCCGGGGGCCAA